TTGTCCTCTTTCAATGATTCGGGATTGACACAGTCATCGAGGTAAGTTTTGACGGCGATTCCGAAAGCGATATCAATATCATTGTCAAATGGGAGACTATTTCAAAGATTGTTAGTGACTTGACGACTTCAGAAGTTGATGATCAATTAAGAGGGTGAATGAAGGAAACAAAAAAACGAACATACCTGCGACCTAATCCTTGATATTGTTTAACATCACGAGTAACTTGACCACTCAAAAGCATCGAGGCAACGATGGCTTCAATTAGATCTCTATCTGTTTCCCGAATAGATTTGATGATCGAATGATATGAAAGGAAATTCTTGCTCAAAGGACCAGTATAACCGATTGGAGAGTGTCTGACTTTGAGAAGACAAGCAACCCGACTTATGAGCATACAGTTTGCTTTGTCTTCCTCTTCGCCTCGCAGTGGCCCTCCAATCAACTCAGGGTGATGGTCACGATTGTGGAGATTTTGGAAACGAATGAGCTCAAATGCCACGAATGCTGCTTCCTCAATAAAGTGAACATCTTTATGTTTCTCAAGGATAGGTTGGATGGCTTTCAAAGTAGTGGCCAATGCTTTTCCCCAATTTGTAAGTTCGTGTTGTTTGTTGATGTAGCCTCTAAGGTGAAGTAGACGCCATAAAGAATTGGATAGAATCTCTGCCTTCGAGGAAAGACCAGTAGTCTTTCCTTTGCCGATAGTTTTAGCGGGGAGGTCCTTGTTATCAAGTAATGATATCGCAGCAAAAGACAAAGTTCCTGCTTGTAATGATTTTGCTTCCACTTTCTTTAATTCAGAATCCTTTACACCCCAAACATCAACTAATTCATTAGTCTGTGGTTGTAAGCGTCTATGGTTTAATGATGGCTTGTTTTCATCATCGAACCATAAGCGCATAGTGATATCCTTGTAGAGGAAACCACGATGCATTCGAGGAGCAATAAGAGCTGCAGAAGTTTCCTTGAGTGGCAAAAGAGATTCTGTAACTAGCTTTCGATATTCGGGTGATACAAAGCCATCGAGAGTTGGAAGAACATGGTATTCGAGAGAGTTGAAAGTGTTCATGAGACGCGAACTGATCACATCTTTTTGAAGATAAGAGTATAACTCTGCAGGTAGTTGCAAACCAAGATATTCATGATTGTCTCCTGTCAAGTGATCAAAATCTCTGATATGAATGCTTCCATCTGTGTGCACAGTAACACAATGCTTGATACCCATCTTTGCCTTTCGGTACTTGTCAAGCCAATCTCGATCTTGCAAATTTAAGATATCGTTGAAAGCCGTGCAAGTCGCACTAACCGACTTTTCCGAAGTTCTCAGTAGGTTGATAGCATCACCAACATTGTAGGGTTGACGGGTGATGATAGATTGATCTTGAAGGGGAGGGAACGGTGGTAAAAATGAGGTTCCGGTCATTAATAATGCATCGGCAAGCATGTCTGGTGTAACATTAAGCTTCTTGATAATTTCAGACCTAACAACGCCTCTTAAGGATTTATTTTCCCAATCCGCTGGGGTGGGTGGGTAAATGACAGCATCCCAAATGTCATAGAGAAGTAATTCTTGAGAGCCCATAATTCCATCAATGAATTGTTCATCATGACGATCGAGGGCGGCGAGCTGAGCACAAGCACTGAAAGGAGCAGTCATGTAATCCAAGTCCCTCGCAGTAAGCACTTCCTTTAGGATATGATATAGGTCGGTGATTTGGATAGCGCCTATCCTAAATTAGTACAAATGAACGATATTGATTAAACACTCAGACACTCACTGGCTTTGCGAAAAGCTGCGACAGCATCTGTAGGATTGCCTTGGTTATAAATTGCCCAGGCTTGTTCTGTTTCGGGTATGGCAGATTTCAGACGGCGCATAGTCATTTCCTTCTTGCCAACAACTGATTGGCCTTCAAATACGAAGTATGGTTCCATTTCATGTTCCTTCCATTTGTCTAAATCGTTCTCGATGTGTAATTTCAATGCCATGGGTTCTCCACCCAAAGCTGCAAGTAGAGGTTCATCGGCAGGGCCTTTCAAAAGATTTGACAGGTATGCTGTAGCTTCCACACCAATTTTTGCATTTACCAAATCGGAGAGTGGCATGGAACTGTTTGTCGCAAATTAGCAGATGACTTTCTGCGGAATGACTGAGATCTTACACTACCCCAGCATCAATGTATGGGTCGCCAGTATTTACTGCATATGCTCTATCAGTCCAATGCTCCGGAACATAGTATGCACGATCGTATGCGCTATCCACCCAGCAGACCGATGCCAACAGCGCATTTTGAATATCTTGATTATTATCGAAGGGATTTATCGCCACGGGATCAGCTTCAAAGAGCACTCCACGAATGATCGAATTTAGTGTATCCTCCGTTCCGCAACCCATTTTGCTTCTCGGAGTTCAGGTTTTCGTAGAGGTGGAGGTTGAAGTTGAGATTGGGCTCGCGATGATTATGGTTGCGGTTGGGGTGAGAACTGAGAAGGAAATCGAACTTACAAGGCATCTTGAATTTAAATCCTGAATACTATTCACTTGTACTTCCCAATTATGGTTCGATTCCTAAATACTTTCCAAAAACGAAAAATGCCAAACCTTATATTCGTGTTGTGGCCCTCTTAGATAATATTGGAGGGGTGTTCGTGGGAAGGAACGTTGGTGGTCTGGTCTGTAAGATCAATAACGAGTAAAGGGTGAGTTGAAGTTGTTATGGATTGGTGTGAAAGAAGGAACTACGGTTGAGTATCTTGACGGGGTATCTGAGGAGTATATTGGAGTGAGATGAGTGTATATTTCAGAAATTGAAATGAATGTACTAGATGCGCAGAGGTGGTGGTTGTGTCTTCAAAATATAATTTTGAAATTGAAGTTCAGACCACAACCGCAGTTCGAGAAGTGTCCAAGCTCCCAGAAGGATCGGTTCAAGGCTTAGCGTCCGCGTCCTCAGCCCGTCGTGTCGTCCATCTTTTGGGCTCATCACGTGAAATATACGATAAGAGGGTTTTGTTCAATGAATTCTTATCAGAAGGTTTTGACAAATGAATATATTTCATCCCACCCTGGAAGAGGTATAAAGAAGAATCATATCCCACTTACATTCATTCATACATCTCTCAGGAATCATGTCGTCTTCAAACGAAGGAAGAATACCAGTTATTGATATCTCAGGCTCAGTGCCTCAATCGGAAGTTGCTAAACAACTTGTGGATGCAGCTGCAACGTTTGGTTTCGTTTACATAAAAAATCTGGGGAAAGATATCCCTGTCGATGCCATTGATAGAACATTTGAGTTGGTATGTACACTTTCCTCGGACTTTCGTTATTATTATGGCTAAAACACAAAGTAGTCTCAAAAGTTCTTCTCTTCTCCCGTTGAAGAGAAGCTTCCATGCAAAATTGCAAATAATGTATGTGATAAGTTTAGCTGTATTCAGCCATGGATACATGAAAGCTGACGAGGGGTTAGAATCGGGGATGGTCTGGAATGCATACAGAGAAATTGGATGAAAAGAATCAGCGAGTACGTTGTATCGTCAATGAAATCATTCAAGATTTCAAAACTAATAAATTTACAGGTTGGTGACTTCAAAGAGTAGCTTGCCTTTCTCCTACAACCCACCAATTCAATTTCGCAACTGACCCTTACCCCTTAGAGCATTCAATTTAGGCGACTTTGTCAATGGAAAAGCCGAACAACCACTTCCACCTTCATTATCGCCACATGAATCAGAGCTCAACGAGTTTCAACTCTACTGCCATAAGCTTTGTCTCAAACTTCTTACTCTTTTCGCTATCGGTCTTGAGGTATATATTCCAAACAGCCCTCTTTAATCAACACTCTCGTTTCCTGCAACTTACTTTATCTCAAAAAGAAAAACTGCTAACTTTCCACAGATTGACCCCGCAGCTGGCGGTTCCGACTGGTTCTCTTCTAGACATCACGGAGGCACAACAGGATGCATTCTCCGTCTGCTCTACTATCCTTCCTTGCCCCCAAATTCTGACTACCAACCCGATGTCGATATCCGAGCTGGTGCTCACTCGGACTATGGATCTATTACCCTTTTATTCCGTATGCTCATCTTCTCAATTGCTATCACACCCCCAATCTAACAATCAATTCCTTCAGAACGACCCTCCCAACCGGGTCTCGAAATCCTTCCTCCATCCTCCTCTTCGGAGCCAAAATGGACCCCAGTTCCAATCCAGCCCCCTACTACGGAAAATGACCCATCTCCGCCAATCCGTAAGCATATATTTCTCCCCCCAAACTTTTGCGCCTTCAATCGTCCGTATCCATGTCGATCTTTACAAATGGCCCCCTCTGTTCACTCCCAAAAGGAATTCCCTTTCATATAATGTAACTAACCTCCACCACACCCCAGTCGTAAACATAGGTGATCTCCTCTCGCACTGGACGAACAATCTCCTCGTCTCCACCGTTCACCGCGTCATCTTCCCCAAGTCCCTTCCAACAGAAATAGCAGACCGCTACAGCATAGCATATTTCTGTCATCCCGTCGGCACTACCGTGTTAGAAAGTGTACCCAGTGAGCGCGTACAGAAATTCGGAGAAGCCAATGGAGAAATAGAAAGGAAGAAAGGAGAGAAAATCACAGCTGATGAACATTTGATGGGAAGGTTGAGGGCTACGTATGCTGGTTTGTACGAGGAAGACAAGGGGGATAAAAAGGAATGAACGTGAGGTGTGGTCTAACAACATAGGAAGATAGTAAGTGATATGTTCTTAAATTCTGATGCAATAGCAATTTTACCTGTCAGTAAGATTCGCGCCAATAAAGGTCTTTCCTTCCGAAACGCTCATATAATACAATTGATAGAATCGTTGCAAGGACGACGCCGTTATATATCCCATGAGATACTAGACTTGAGTTTTTGATTTCGTTCGGCAAGGTGACACTCATGCTCCAAAACAACCAAACTTTGATTTACTCGCAATGCTAGCATAACCTGCTTCCAACCATTCGCTCTATGCGTCGGCCTTTGCTTCCTTGCTCTCGGTCGTCTCATCCTTTGCTTCCTTGATCTCAGTTGTCTCGTCCTTTATTTCCGCTTCCGCAGCAGGTGTTTCTTCTACAGGCAGCGCTGCGGCTGCTTCTGTAGCACTCTCCGCACCAGTCTCTGTCTTTGTGACCTTCTCCGCATTCGACAACGCATTCCATTCATCCAGATACTTCTCAACTTGTGGTCCCCAGACCTCCTCTCCCTTTTCCAAATCATCGTACTCCAAAACGTTCTTACCCAATTCAAACTGACCCTGTCTGACCCTAACCAAACTAGTCATCAATCCCGCTGATCCCAAATCTGCGCCGAGATCGTGGCATAATGATCGGACGTAAAAACCAGATGATACAGTCATGCGAATTTTGGCCGCTGGGGGACCTTTCTTCATGTCTTCTTTGGAGGGGATAGGTTGATCTTCAACCGGAGTTTTATCGGAAGATAGACCGCCTGACATCATCGCATCTTCCTTTTCTCCTTCGGCTCCCTCCTTCGCTTTCTTTGTCGGCTTTTCCAAAACTAAGTCATCCTGATCATCACCCATCTTTCTCTTTCTACTTTCGAAATCTTCCAGCGCCCTCTCATTCTCTGCCTCCTTTCCATTACTTGCTGGCTCAGCTCGCTCTTGTTTCCATAATTTCGCCGCAACATTGACTTCCGCATAACCCGCTTCTTCAGTTGGCGCCTTCCATTCATGCTCACCACCTTCATACCACTCCAGCAACTCCAGCTCCGAGACATCAACGGGTCTTCTTTCAATTTCTTTGGGGATTTCCTTTCCCTCGCGCGCATATTCGTAAAGAGGCTTTCCATTCATTTTCAAGGCCGAAAATAACGGTGGAAGTTGCATAAACTTTCCTCGATATTTAGCAAGTCCTTTCTCGACCATTTCTCTCGTAATATGTTCATAGGGAGCTCTCTTCAATAGCTTCCCATCTTTATCATATGTATCTGTTGCAGCACCAAATAACACAGTGGTCTCATAAGTCTTAGTACAGAGAAGGAAATTGCCCAATTCTTTTGTGCCTTTTCCAACTCCGGCAATGAGGACTCCAGTAGCCAACGGATCTAAAGTTCCTCCATGACCAATCTTAACCTGAACTCTCTTGCCCGACTTCCTACGTCGTTGCTTTTGGTTATGCCATTCGTTTTCTCGGTTTCGAGTTTCTATTTGAATGTAGGGTGCGAATAATTCGGAGGGATTGAAATGGTGTTGAAGATCGCGAACGATTTGAGCGGAGGAACGACCAGTGGGTTTATTAATGGCTGCGGGGTTCTGTCAATTATTTTTATCAATTGAAGAGAGAAAACAGAAATGCATACCGAAAACGCCTTCCATAACTTTTCCTTTCGTCATTGTCCACCAGGCAAGTCGGGACATCTGCTAGTGTTAGGTTGTTATGGGTGGTAATAGATATCTGTTGGTCGATATGGAGTGGAGTTTATTTCGATTCTCCAGCTTTTTTTTGTGCCATGGAAGTTGCTGCAGAGTCTTAGCTTGGCATCCTTATCACCATGTGATTCAAGCTTTATCTTAGACAATATTTTTTGGTCTTGAGAAGTATGGAGATATCTATTTGGAAACATAAATCAGCTGTGGCAATTTTCTTAGTAGAGAGCTTCCTTTTGGATTGAACAAAGATAACTCCTGTTGAAAGGTATTTTCAAAGACCAGCAAGTTAGCAGTATACTCAACTACTACCTGACTGGATGGGTTTCGAGATTCATCATGGAGTTCAGAATCATCATCAGGGACTTCGGAGTTTCATTTGGCCGACTATCATCTTTATCAACAAACACAGGCCATAGCTTGCTTGAGTTGAGGAGGTAGAAAACAAAAAATACTTATTACACTTGACCTTGTTCTACACAAAGATATTGTTGAAGAAAAGAGCATTTTCTCATCTGGAATCTAAGCATCACCTGCTATGAAATTGTATCGACTAACCTTATTACATCATTCCATTTTTCTTTCAACAGATACCAAGCCATGAAAGCTTCCAGATCTCAAATGTTTGGCTCTGGCACACATGATGCTGTACCATATAAAAGTAATAACTCTTCGGGAGAGAATGTCGATAGAATGGATGTTGATGAGCCAAAGCTTGTTCTTCAAGATACGATTGTCTATCAAAAAAATCGCAGTATTGCCAATGTATTCGATTCTGTCCTCGGTCTAGAATTGCGCGCTGAAGGTACACTTTGGGTGGAAAATGCGGAAAGATATAAATGTAAGTCCTGACTCTGGTGGATCTAAATTCCATTTATTGGATCAATATCTGATGCTCTGATAGTTAAGAAACCGAACGGTTCCCATTGCCAGGTTCAATTCCAAATGTATTCTTACGAAAGGGATGAGCTTGGAGCTATCATTCTTTACGTTGAAGATTCCACAACTAAGTGGTGGGTTGAGCTTAAACCTTCGCAAAAGTACGTAGCACACTTTACAAGCATGGTAGAAAGTGCAGAACTTAAGCACTTTGTTACCGATTACTATGAGCGTGTAATCAACAAGGAGTGTAAAGATGACTTGGCTCAATTGTGCTGGGAAGTAAGTTACAATTGCTCTCCAATGTTGCTTTACTTCAAAGGCTGATTCTTCGTTATAGTATGGTCGTGAAGATGGCAGCGGACTGTTACAAAACGATGTTGTCGAAGTTTTGACTAAGGATGCAAATGCATTTTTTCTGTTGTCGGCTTTTCGTGAGGAGACTTGGGTCGATGGAGAGGCTCAGACCATGAGATGGTCTAGTACAGAAATCTACAAGCTTCTGAAGAAGCAATGTCCTGTACGCATCTTTATATTACGCTTCATTCCTACAAGGCTAATTTTGACAGACCGCTTATAAGAGAGCCAATACATTCGTTTCACTGGAACCAGAGCCAATGGCTGTCGACTCTCCTACAATTTCAGACCCTCCTCCAGCTGCTAGCGATAGTGGCGATACACAAACCAATCAATTGGAAATGCTGATGTCGTTGATTAGCGATGAAATCCAAGACGGCACTCCTGTCAAGAAACTTACTCCTGGATCCCTTTGGAATAAGCTCTTCATTAAAGCCAAAATTCCAGACCAAGGCGACCCGGGAGCTGGACCACGTATTGCAAAGTGTATTGTCTATAAAGTTGGGGGGCTTCTTGCAGATCTATTAGAGAGACGTCATCCTGATCTATTTATGGGTTCAAAATTCATTGGTGGTCTTCGCGAATTAGGTCGTACTCGATATCCACCATACACAAAGCAAGTGACTACCGATCAACAATGGCAACATTACATGGATTTGGCTGAAGGCCTTTACCTTGTTCGTCGAAATAACAACCAGCATGATGAAAGAGCTGGTATTATGCAGATTCGCGGGTCTACAACACTTCAGGTAAAGGATATATTTACTGGGGAACTGGCACCACCTCGTCCAGTTCCACGTGTTGGAAGTGGACGCGTTGGACGTCCGCCAAAGGCTCGTCCGGAAGTTGAATTCTGGGATGTTGAAGATGAAGACGAGGTGGTCGAGAACTCAATTGACACTGATGCACCTCTGTCAGTAGAAATGGCATGGCAGCGTGTTTGGCAGTTGGGCGGAGAGGAGAAAACTATTGGTGGTCGTGTTGTTCCAGCTCGTATCCAACGGTCCGGCTATTGATTTTTAGTGCTGCATCCAGACTGGCGTTACCATTAGCGATAGGTAGATACCCCGTGATTTGATTTTTGGAATTTAAAAAAGGAATAAATGGTTCACTGGAGCGTTTTTTGAGCTTTGCTTCTTGGTTTTCGTTGGGTTCTGTTTATCTTCTCTGTCTTTTACTATTGAATTTGTCTTCGGCAACCACCTTCATTATCTCGATCCATCTCGCCACATTTTGTACACTCAGTCTGGAAGCTAAAACTTTCCCAAACTTCATATTTCAATCTAGTGATAATGCGACCCATCCTATAGTCGGGTGTTAAGCTTGACTCTCACCAATTTCGAGCCAGCGTTTATACGACTCTCACACGATTCCTCGTTGATTTCGCTACTTATCTTGGGAATCTAAAGCTTCCCCTTCAAATCAATCAAAGTGCTTTCTTTTGTCATGTTATGCCCTTTTCTGATTGGAGGTCTGGGTCGTGGAAAAGTTGCGGCTTCGGAATGTGATTTTGATCGTCGAATTAAGTTCTATGCTTGTCATTTGATATTTTCATCATCCAATTTTGGGTGTTTCATAAAAGAGGTGTTTAGTTTTGTTTCGGCTCGTGCTAGAAAGCCGTAATAGGTTGATTTGGGCAGATGATTGGGTAGATTGACCGGGGTTTATGTTCTGATATGGCATGAGTAGTTCTGATGTATAAGTGCATTAGCTTCTCAGTACTCTATGGAGTTGTATTTCAAAGCGCTTGTCTATGAAGTAACGACAGACACGAAAGACTGGGCCAGCTAGTGATGACCATTAAAACCTAACAAATTGAGATTTACCCGCCTGTTTTGACTCGTAGCTACATGGTAGAGAGTACTTCGATGCAATATAAAGCGTACCCCCGAGAAGCCCTGCGCTCTTGCTGATTTGTTGTTAATCACACAAAGAGCACAAATAAAGGGCTCACATCTCTCGTTCATCTCCGTGAATGAGTTGACAAAGCTAGAGGGTGTCGAGTAGAGCAAGCTGCGCTGGGGGAAAAAATGGTTTAACATCTTCAGCAGATCTGACTGCGAATAATATAGCTGAATCCTACGGACCATTGATTCCTCCGTGGTAGTTTCCTCCTTTCTATTGTAAGCGAGAGCTTAGCCCGTTTGCCGCTCAGGCTTGTAGTAATGCGCGTTTATGATTACATTTACTTTCATCCTTTTTCTTGGTATCTTCCCTCGAGTTTATATCTATGAGCATCAAATATATTACATCACTACTTTGATCTTTCCCCATTTAAAAATATTACAGTATCAAATTAGACATGGCGGAGGAATACCCGGGCAGTATCTGGGTACTCCCACTGGAATTTTACCCGTAATTAATTGATACCCGATTTTTTGCACCTATTAGATTATCGTCTGGGTAACAAATTGGTTCGCTAAAGATGCATTGTCGATCCGGCTAAATAATTCTTGAACGTACCCCTCACTTATTTACCCCCGAGATTCCAGCATGAAAATGTATATAAACATGGATAACGTATTTTAATAAGATCATCTTAAGTATTACTTGATAGCTTTGTAAGTAAGCTGTGATGCTCAAAATGCATCCGACTTCTTGGATCACAGTCTTAACCCTTTCGCATTTGTCGCTAAACGTTCAAGGCAAAAGTCTGTGGTCTACTCAACCAGCAGCTTACCAAGATATTATTAGGACAGCCTACCCTATAGGGAATGGTCAACTAGCTGGTACATAAACACCTTAAGCAGGATTTTATTGAGTCATTATACTAATAAAGAACAGCACTTCCATTTGGTACGCCAGGTTCCGAAAAACTCAATCTCAACAGAGATTCACTATGGAACGGTGGACCCTTCGAGGATGCCAGCTACATTGGCGGGAATCCGAATTCATCGGTCTCTTCCTCATTATCAGGCATTAGGGATTTCATCTTTCAAAACGGTACTGGAAATGTTACTGCCTTGATGGGTTCAGATGACAATTATGGAAGTTACCAAGTTCTGGGCAATTTATCCGTTTCATTACAGGGTATTTCAGGAGCTACAGAATACAAACGAAGTCTTGATTTGAATACTGGAATCCATACCACTACTTTTAAGACTGCAAACGCTTCTTATACTACGTTAGTCTTACTTTTCTCGGGACTCGGTAATTTCTAACCATTATTAGTGCTGTTTTTTGCTCCTACCCAGATAGTGTATGCGTTTACCAAGTCAACTCAACATCCGATTTACCAAAGATCGATGTTCACTTCGATAATATATTAACCGATAGCTCTTTGATCAAATCATCTTGTTCGAAATCTTCAAAATCAGCTCTATTCAGTGGTATCACTCAAGCTGATATAGGCATGATATACAAGGCTGAGGCTCGAGTACTTGAATCCACAAAATCAGTGTCCTGTTCCAATACCACAGGTACTCTCAGCATAACACCATCTCGTGATCAGAAGTCGCTGTCTTTAGTCATTTCAGCTGGTACAAACTATGATGCTACAAAAGGTAAAGCTGCAGATAATTACTCATTCAAAGGGGTTGATCCAGGCGCCTACATTTCCTCTACAGTCGCAAAAGCTGCTTCGAAAACTGTTAAAACCCTCCGGAATAACCATGTATCTGATTTCTCCGCTCTAATGAATACTTTCACACTCAATCTTCCCGATCCTCTCGGATCAGCAAACAAAGAAACTGCCGCTGTAATTGCTGCATACAATACTACAGATAACACTCATACCGATCCCTGGTTCGAAAGTCTTTTATTCGACTACAGTCGTTATCTTTTTATCTCCTCGTCACGGGATAACTCGCTTCCTCCCAATCTCCAAGGAAAATGGGCATATGGTCTATATAACGCCTGGGGTGCAGATTATCACGCCAACATCAATGTCCAGATGAACCAATGGGGAGCCGTTCAAACCGGTCTCGGAGGCTTGCAATCCGCATTATGGACATACATGAGCGAAACATGGGCACCGCGTGGAGCAGAAACAGCAAAGCTTTTATACAATGCACCGGGATGGGTAGTGCATGATGAAATCAATATTTTTGGACATACGGGGATGAAAACGGGAGATGAGTATTGGGCTGATTATCCGGCGGCTGCGTCTTGGTTGATGCAACATGTGGCTGACTATTATGATTACTCGCGAGATGAAAATTGGTTGAGAGAAACGGGATATCCGTTGTTGAAAGCTGTGTCGGAATTTTGGCTTAGTCAATTGCAGAGTGATGAGTATTTTAATGATGGGACATTGGTTGTTAATCCTTGTTCTTCACCTGAACATGGCCCTGTAAGTTTTTCTCTCTCTTAAATGATGGATATAAAATTCGAATTGGCACTAATATAACAAATAGACCACATTCGGCTGTACACACTACCAACAACTCATTCACTCCCTATTCACCACCACTCTCCAAGCCGCCCGTGCCCTCTCCCTCGACAGCACACTCCAAAAATCCCTCACCACCTCCCTTTCATCCCTCGACAAAGGTCTCCACATCTCCCCCACGACCCAAATCCAAGAATGGAAAATCTACTTCCCCGACTACGAAAACTCCACTCATCGCCATCTCTCCAACTTAATCGGCTGGTTTCCCGCCTCCTCTCTCTCCTCCTATCTCTCCGGATATACCAACTCTACCATCTCCACCGCCGTCCGCAATACACTTATCTCGCGGGGACCAGGAATCATCGATTCCAACGCGGGCTGGGAAAAAGTCTGGCGGAGCGCTTGTTGGGCGCGATTAAACGATACGGAGACTGCGTATGCGGAGTTGCGATTGACGATTCAGGAGAATATTGCAGGGAATGCGTTGAGTATGTATAGTGGGAAGAATGAACCGTTTCAGATTGATGCGAATTTTGGTTATGGAGGGGCGGTGTTGAGTATGTTGGTTGTGGATTTGCCGGTTGGGGTTGATAATAAAGGGGGAGTGAGAACGGTGGTGCTGGGTCCGGCTATTCCTGGGGTTTGGGGGAAGGGGAGTGTGCGGGGTTTGAGGGTTAGAGGGGGGGAGTGCTGGATTTTGAGTGGGATGGTGAGGGGATTGTGACGAGTGCGACGTGGAAGACGAAGGGGGCGGAGAGTGTGAGGATTGTAAATATTGAGGGGAAAGTACTAGCGTAGTTACCTTCATTACTCTTTTCTATACCTCAGAAATAAAAGTTATTCATTGTAAGCATCTGACTGGTCAAATAATGTCTCGATGTGTAAGACTAGTTCGTAACATGTAAGCTTCAATATCTAATTTGGATTCATACACTGGGTAGAAGTCATCTGGTATCCCAGACGCACAGCACTCTATTCTTCAAGCCAAAACTTCACTAAAAAAAAGGATTGCAGATCAACTTGAGATTTGAGAAGAGTTAAGGATTCAGGCTAGCAAATTCGCTTATTTATTAATAAACAATGCCATACTCATGATTCATGTAAATCAATTATTAAGAGCATTCTAGTTTCTACCTAGACTTAGCTCCGCGGAGTAGAGTTAGGCAAGACACCAGCTCGCTTAATATTATCAATGCTAGCGAGTACAGTGCAAACAAATATATTCATTCTGACAACCCATTATATTTCATCCTGGCGCAAATGATTCATTCACTCTCAATACAACCTCATGTCATCAATCAATCCCCACCCCACACTCTCACCCTCCACAACCCCAAACATCTCCTCATTCGATGGTAGTTAGATATATAAGTCCCGAATTTAACAATCGAAAATAGCCCAGATACTTGAACTCATCGTGAACTAATCCGCAGCTTGTAATCTAATGAATCCCTAGTATACAAGACCCCCGAGTAGCAGATTAGATTCGACGAGATTAGATTGGGAAGTCATATCTGTTTCTGAAAGAAATACACGTCTGGAAAGTGGTGATAAAATTTATGGGAAGTTTGACTAGTGATTTAGTGATTTTTATCTCTATATCTGTCCGTTTATGTAGTGTAGAGTAGAGCAAAATAGAGTAGAGAGGAGAGGAAGAATATGACACTTTTATTTGTTGTATGAGGGATGAAATCCTAGAATTCAGTCGCCTCTCTTTTTTTCTGATTTGTCTTATTCCGTACCTAAGAAGTTAAGGTTAAGAATCATGAAGAGAAAACTTAACAGTGGTAGAGAGATCCTTAACAAATATGTAGATTAGTCGGAATCTTGGGATGCTAATGTGGCAGGATGAGTATTCTCGGTGACCTTAAATCTTGGAAGATATACGGTGATACTCATCTAGCTAAATAATAACTACAAATTTTTAATCGTTCCCAGGGTAGAATATATTACATTCCTTATTGCCATAATGAGACAATCAAAACTTAGCGATAATCATGATCTTATTTGAGATTCCAAGTCTACTAATCACTCGAACCAAAAAATATCGAAAAGGACAATAATACAGGTAGGTAATCATGATAATCTAGATATACACTCAGCACGAAAAGAACTATAAAGAAGATGAAGAATAGAAGCCATAAATATATGCAATGCAGTTGTAGGAAAATCCACCTTTATAATAGTAACATTCTCGCGTCTTCATCTAAACTCCAACACCCAATTTCCCAAATGATTATTCGTATACTCATAGATCATATCTTCATAGCTTTTCCCACCGCATCTAAACGCCCAAGAATTTCCTTCTCTTTTGATCAAACCATCACGCCGTATATCCGCCAACATAACATAACATGTCATACCAGACCTCCTCCCCAACTAATCCCTCAACTCCTTCCTCAACCCACTAAACTCAAACCCGAACCCAAGCCCTCAGACTCATGCTCATAAGATAGCTCACTTGTGGAAGACGAAGATGAACGGATCAATAAATATGGCCCTCAACTCCTTCCTCCAATCATTACACCGGATTCCTCTTCACTAAACTCAAACCTGAACTTAGACCTACACCCCCAAACCCCTCATACCCATTAGTCATCCCACTTGCGGAAGATGAAAACGAAGATGGATGGATGACTATATGTTCATGCCTGTGGAATTTATTGGGTGCATGAAGCGAGACTATTATATCAAATCAACCTCAGATATCATCATAACATCTAACGATACAAAAACTAAAATGAAGACCTACTATCAGACTGATGAGGATGTCTCATACAAATTCTCAAACTGAGGTAAGAGATAACAAGTCCGACGAAACTCATAAAAAAAGTGATGATGCCGAAACAGATGGCGATTGTATCTTGTGGAGACATGTCGGAGGATTTTGTAACAATTGCGGGTAAGGTTACAGGTACGGGCCGTGGGGTAACAAGGCTGATGATAGGTGGAGAAGATTACTGGATGCAGATGCAGGACTGATATGAGCGAGGCTAGATTTTTTAGTGATTGGCTTGATGAGGGTAGGGGTGGTTTTCGACTTTCGTCGTAAATATGCAGAGACGGCAATCAATTAAGTAGAAAGATGTTTCAATCCAAGTTCTTTTTGAATCCAGGTTCGATGAATGATTGATCTGAGCATCAATCAAAAATATTCTTGATGAGAGATTCTTGATATTTAACCGTTTTCTGCAATCCTCTCTTCCTCCTCCCCCCCTGATAGAATCGCCTCACCCCCTGATAGAATACACCTACTTAGTGATAGAATACACTGCTACCGGACAGAAATCACCTGCTTCCTGATAGAATACACCTGCTTCCTGGTACAATCCACCTGCTTCCTGGTAGAAATCCACTTCCCTCCCCCTCTAAGCACTTTAATTTGTTGAATTTGTTGACGTGTGTGGTGGGCAAGCAATTTTGTGGAAGCCGAGATCAAAAGATGCGCTCGCTAAAGCACAAATGCGCCTGAGGCGGAGCTTCGTGCTGTAATACAACCCCACGAATCCACTTCTGATCTCCGATACCAATAGTGGAGTCAGTCTTACATTGTCAGCCTATCGGCCATTACGCCAATCCACACCCAGTATTGCTTAAAGCAGTCTTGGGTGTCAACTTTAGAAGCAAAATCCCAAACATACACTAGGATTCTGCGTGCAGATTCTGGTATGCGCCCTCGGTTCGGACCCATAATTATTGAACCTGATTAACTCGTATATAATGTTCAGAAAGAAAGGTTTTGGCCAAGCCTACCGTAGACTAGAAACAAAAGGTTAAGGGATCCTTGAAGAAGAGCAGGGTATACAAAATAACATGCAAATCGCAAATTGCAAAGATACAAGTATGGGTTTAAACCTTAAATATACAATAGAGATTACCTGAAAGGTTATAGTATATGGGTCCATAGGTTCGAGAACATGTCCTTAGTGGGGGTTTCAGGAGAATCTACGATTGAGCTGAAAGGTATATGAGAGGGACTATCTTGAGCCAGGGTAAGAGTTCATGATGAAGAATACGCCAATCAGTGAACTCATACATGAGAAAACGAATCGTGGGACCATCTCTTCCGCCCGACTCCGCGCCAATCAACAATCACCACATGAGAAAACTTCAACAAGGCTAGTCTCGTGATATCAAGGTCGTACAACGTCGTACAGAAAATAATCTCTCGAGGCTCAAATATGATAGTAAGCACCTATTTAGCAGGCTCTCGCCCTTCGAACAAGCTCAAGTACACAATTATCGAGTCTACAAATGTTAATCCACACGATAAACTCCCAAATGTATCAGATCTAACAATTAAACCCCTCTTTTCCCCTTTTTTCTGAGGACCCAGGAATCAGATCTAACAATTATTTCGCCTCCCCTCCCCTCCATTTTCCAACTTCCTCTCCTTCGGGAACCTAGGAAGAAGAGCTCAAAAGTGCGAGATGTTATAAACATTCAACGGGAACATTTAAACATCGATGCTGCAAACTATCCAAGAAGCCTACACAAGCAGCAGAGTCGCCCAAAGAAAATAGTTTCCGAAGAGTTGATGCACTATACCGAAACTGTAAAGCACAATCAGAATACTATGTACACGATATAACACCAAGATCAAACATTCGAAGCGAGTGAGCTTGAGCAGAAAACCGTGTTGAATCTCACATCCAGTTTATTTTCCAGGTCTCACGTCTAGTTTGTCTTCATCTCTCACGCCCTTAAGCCATAAGAATCGAAGCCTCATTAACAACTATCCATGGTTCCATAGAAACTACAGTACTCCGATCCAGACGATGCACATGAGTGACGACTCTGTATCCTCTGAGCTAACCACACACTAGCATGCCCGTCACCACGCGACAGATATATACGACTAGAAAGCATTAGAAAAGTGAATAGATGCTTATAAAATTCTCTGAAAAATTCTTCGGGAGCTAACCATACATTCGCAAAAGACCAGCAACGACAATATAAAAGCTGGTATAAAGATAAGAAGCAATGGTCTTTTATGCACATAGCACTAACGAAGAGAGCTGTCACCTTTCATACTAATCTTCAAACTAACATACGATAGCAAACGACCGTGGATCCCGACGCGACAGACAGCCAGCCATGGACCCCGAGGGAAATCATTCAGAGTAGATCTTATTTCATTGCGACTTGGAATTTATGAAGACAACTTCACTATTAGACTCCTTCGTGGACCGATATGCATGCTGCAAACCATGAATGCAAAGCCTGTTGTCTATAATAGGAACGAGGCGGGGCTCACAAAAAAAAGCCATCGTAACGCTAGAGATATATATCCATGTAAGAAACATATCAAGATTTTTGCGCTAGGTAACTTCATAAGATGCTTGGAAAAAAGATTCAATGATTTGTTCTCATCCCAACTTTATGACTTCAAGAAGAATACTGAGTACCAAATGAAGATATGATTCACACGAACAGCCTGGGTTCCTCCATCTCCCATGTCCCGCGCTCCCCTGTCCTGCAAGCCACTGTCGCAACGGTAAACACACAACCCTAGTCCAAAGGAAAAATAGTCACCACCAATTCCAACGGCACCTCTACCTATTTTCTAGGGGAGAATACAGTGACGCGCATCGCATTGAATTTATATTTCTCGGCCCTCAGCAAACTAGCTTTTCACAATCCATTAATTCTTCGCAGCTGACAAGAAAGCTCTACCACCGAAAGAACTTTCCCCCGCCACTGTAACGCAACTCCAGATATCCCCGAGATCAACTCTCTCTGGAGAGGAATCTCATGTGTTCCCCCGCCATGATATTGCAATTCGATTCTATACATGTCCTGTGAAAATGACGCTCGCCTCCATCTCCGTTTCAACTACGAGGTTAGGTATACATTTCCATCCTTCTAATCTCATCGGCTACACTTAGCTCGAGATAATTCCCCTTCTCCACGTCACCAGAATCATCCACTTCTCATTTCTCAGTTCCTCCCAACCTAAGCCCGACAACTACACAAACCATCTTTGAGACATTATCAAGAGATAACAAGTTATCTCGCACAACGGCGTGGGTTTCTCCGAAAATCAGATTATACTAGGTTTTTAACCGATGTCAAGGACGATAGCCTTACATCTATTCATCTATCTAGCTTTTCTGACGAAACAACAAAAACAAAAGAACAAGAACGTAGATACCAAGCAAAGACAGCAAGGTTTCCACAACTCTTCATTTAGAGACTTAACAATACAGCAAAATGATGGGGAAATGGATGGATGTCCTGCAAGCAAAGTAGGCTATGGTGATGGAACAAGTAGAGCACTGCACGGCAGACTTCCGCCAGATACCAACCAAACTATAACCAATCTCCGCTAATCATATAGCAAGCAAGCTTTATTGCATCCCGTCAAAAACAAGTCAGTACCCAAGTACATGCGGGATACCACAGTCCAAGCCAAACCAGGTATCTCCATCATGATCTCTCTGAAGAAACGCACACGCACACACACAACAGAAACCATACTACATTATCGGGTACCCATCAAAAAACACCTACGCATCCGTTGTCCAAATCTTACCTCATCACACGGCTCCATCTAATACCCCCGCCACGAACAAATAGCGTAAAACACCATAGATATTGAAACCAGGCATCCATCCCCACATATTGTCTATGATCAACAGACGGAGGCCAGAGGGCATGTGAGAAATAATGGAGAATATAATGTATATCAAGCATACCATCACCCTATCAGCACATCCCACAAACCTCATCAAAACACATCGACCGAATTTCGCAAAATGAATAATGTAAAAGATGACACTCATACGCCTCAGATTCTACTTCCACAACGACCCCGATTCTGCAATCCTACACTAGAATCTCCACCGTATCAAAAAGCTTTCGAAATTCCATATTGCAGTAGCATAAGATGAATTTCCCCTCCCCTTTTCCCCTTTCTCCTTCCCAAACCCCCATTTAAAAACTCCACAAAAACCAATAACCTCCGAATCACTCGAATCAACTTATCCACCCATCATCCCATCTCCATCCATCCCAATCCATCTCCCAAACTCCAAACTCCAAACTCCAAACAAAAAACACAAAATCCAACAACCAGGCAACAACATTCCATCAAAATTCCACCATCTAACAACCCAATTTCCCACTCCCTTCTCACGAATCACCACAGTCTGATATTCAACATTTCCAATCACCATCTATGATTGAATAAAGCAAGCAACCAAGTAAGTAAGAGATAAGACCGTACATACAACCCCATACCATCCTACCATTCCAACCCATCTCACGCGTTTCCCTCTCAGAAAAAACCAAAAAAAAAAAAAAAAAGAACAGTAAACTCAATATACCACACCCCTCTCTCTACCCCATCCACCCCGAAATCAAGAAATCAAAAACTCGCGAGGAATTCAACAATCACCTAAACCATTCTCTGCATTACTGAATGCAATACAAACGCATACATATTCACAATTATACATGTATGATATACACTTATACACTTATACACCAACCAACACGCCAAACACAGCCGAAAGCCCCACGTGTTTAATCTAAATATCGAACTGATCGCGCGGGAAGAGAGTAGAGAAAGGAGATGTTAAGATACCGGTACAATTGCCAATACAAAAAAATCCAGGTCAACAATGAATCTTCAGAATATAGAAAGCCCCCGCCCCCTCTCCTCTCCCCGAAAGCTCATTCGAAACGCTCAATATCCCACTCGAGGAATCTTCACCACGTACATCGAATTTCACAGTCACAGCTCGCAACTCCGTTCCAATCCATCTCTAAGATCCTAAAGGACTATACCCAAGCAACCTATACCTACCTCCCTCCCTCCCTCCCTCCCTCCCTCCCCTCGCCAAACACCCACCCCTCTACAAATCTCACCCCA